CTTCTTGTAGGAGTCCCTTACATCTATCTATATTCTAAATCCCATCCTGTTTGGTTGAAAAACAAGGGAGTTAAAGCCATTTAAAGTATAAGCCAATCAGATTGCAGAACACGTGCATGCGCGTGATTTCATGATTTTTTTTCTATGTCATATTGTAGGATATCCTAATGCATGACAATATTTTAAATTTCAAAGCATTTCGTCAAAAAACAAAGTAGATATAGCCATTTAAAGTTTCAGTCAATCAGATTGCAGCACGCGGGCATGCGCATGCTTTCATGAAAATTCTTATATATCACGCTGTAGATCTTCATAATGCAGGTCTATGTTCAAAATTTCAAAGGATTATGACAAGAAACAAGAAATATATTGAGACTTTAGTTTCAGCCAATCAGAGAGAAGCGCACGTGCATGCGCGTGAGATCTTACTTTTTTGACCATGTCATTTTGTCTATGCTTCTAATATATACTTATAAAATGAGTTTCAAAGCATTTCATAAATAATTTTAATAGTTACGTCTGTATCAATTATATTGGACATTTCTCGTGTTGCACGTGCGAGCTCTTGCAAGCACATGTACATGCACATGCTTTCATGATAAATCTTATATTACAGGCTGTAGATCTCCCTAATGTATGACTATGTTCAAAATTTCAAATGATTTTATCAAAAAACAAAAAAGATATTGAGACTTTAGTTTCAGCCAATCAGAGCGAAGCACACGTGCATGCGCGTGCAATCTTGCTATTTTGACCTTGTCATCTTGTGCATACTACTAATATATCTTTACATTATAAGTTTCAAAACATTTCGTCACAAAATAGAAAAGTTACGGTTATATCCATTATATATTGGTCATTTTAAGTTTTGCACGTGTGCGCTCTTGCAAGCACGCGCGCGCAAAATGACCTTGATTCCGCAAATCTACATTACATGCCTACTTACCCTAAAAAGGTTTCACCTAAGTCAGATGTGTAGTTTACAAGATTACTCGCGGACAAAATTTTCCAAGGAAGAAAAATAATAAGAATAATAATAATAATAAGAAACAGAGTAAAAACAATATGTTCCCCAACTTCGTTTGGGGAACATAACTAGTGCTAATTGTAACGGGAACCGTTACAGATGTTCCCCAAACGCTCCCCAACTCCCTTTCAGTGCCATATTCCCTGTAAGCTTCATTAAATAAGACAAACTCTGTGCATTTTTTACTTTAACAACGTTTTCCCAGAAGGATACCAATTATATTCAATTTTTAGCATTGCACCCAAGCGCATGTGAATGCATGTGCGTTATGACCATATCATCTTGTCTACACTATTTGTATATTTTAATATACATGTATTATATATAAAAGCATTCAGTTCAAAAGTAATAAAAATCACTCATTCAAGTGTATTTTTAAATATACTCTTTTTAAATGCACGCACGTGCGTGTACGTGCATGATGATCATACCTTCTTGTAGGAGTCCCTTACATCTATCTATGTTCTAAATCCCATCCCGTTTGGTTGAAAAACAAGGGAGTTATAGCTATTTAAAGTTTCAGCCAATCAGATTGCAGCACACGTGCATGCGCCTTATTTCATGTTTTTTTAATATCATTTTGTACGATATCCTAATGCATGACTATATTTTAAATTTCAAAGAATTTCGTCAAAAAAAAGGAGAAATAGCCATTAAAGTTTCAGCCAATCAGATTGCAGCACACGTGCATGCGCCTTATTTCATGATTTTTTTTACATCATTTTGTAGGATATCCTAATGCATGACTATATTTTAAATTTCAAAGAATTTCGTCAAAAAACAAAGGAGAAATAGCCATTTAAAGTTTCAGCCAATCAGACTGCAGCACACGTGCATGCGCGTGATTTCATGATATTTTTCTATATCATTTTGTAGGATTTCCTAATGCATGACTATATTTTAAATTTCAAAGAATTTCGTCAAAAAACAAAGGAGATATTGCCACTTAAAGTTTCAGCCAATCAGCTTGCAGCACGCGCACATGCGCATGCTTTCATGAAAATTCTTATATATCTTGCGGTAGATCTTCATTATGTAGGACTATGTTCAAAATTTCAAAGGATTATGACAAGAAACAAGAAAGATATTGAGACTTTAGTTTCAGCCAATCAGAGCGAAGCGCACGTGCATGCGCGTGAGATCTTGCTATTTTGACCATGCTATCTTGTCTATACTACTAATGTATCCTTACATTATGAGTTTAAAAAAAAATTTCATTAAAAATAGAAAAGTTACGGCAATATCCATTATATTGGTCATTTCACGTGTTGCACGTGCGCGCTCTTGCAAGCACGTGCGCGCAAAATGACCTTGATTCCGCAAATCTACATAACATGCCTACTTACCCTAAAAAGGTTTCACCTAAGTCGGATGTGTAGTTTACAAGATCACTCGCGTACAAAATTTTCCCAGGAAGAAAAATAATAAGAATAATAATAATAAGAAACAGAGTAAAAACAATATGTTCCCCAACTTCGTTTGGGGAACATAATAATAAGAAACAGAGTAAAAACAATATGTTCCCAAACTCCGTTTGGGGAACATAATTATTATAGTAAACAAATTTCCGTTTGATGTGGTATTATTTTATATAAGATGAAATCATTTAAATGCTTTACATTCATTCAGTTAAAAGATACTGAATCCGACAACATGTCTACTACCCAGTGCAGTCTAGAATTAGGAAACGAGTGATACATTCAAGCATGTACATTGGACAATGGTGAAAGTAGATTCAACATACGGGAATGGAAATCAACGAAAAATCACCAGTTTCCAACTAAGAGAAGCATCAATTTAAACTTGCAGCTTGTTAAAACCCTGAAGATCTCCACTGATTTGATCGACACAGCTTTAGCCAAGAAAGACGATCTTTACTATCATGTCGTTGCTAATATTTTCTTATCGTTCAAAGGCGACAGTCCTTGTGTTAACATAAGAAAATATTGGAAACTAGAGAATGAAGAGAACCTCGTACCCACCAAGAAGGGGATTTGTCTCCGTCCTCTCGAATATTTAAATCTTAAAACACATCTGAGTAGCATTGATTGATTGATTAATTGTATATTGTTTAACGTCCCTCTTGAGAATTTTTCACTCATATGGAGACGTCACCGATACCGGTGAAGGGCTTCAAATTTAGACCTATACTCGGCACTCAGGGCCATTGAGCAGTGAGGGTTCTTTATCGTGCCAACGCCTACCGTGACACGGGACCTACGTTTTTGAGGTCATATCCGAAAGACCCGTGACTTTCACTTCTAGTGCCGAGCGCTTGGCGAAGGAACAGTCACTACCTTTGTTTACGTCTTAGGTATGACGCGGCGCCGCGATCGAGAATCGAACCCGGGCCTCCCGATCACTAAGCGAACGCTCTACCACTAGGCTACCATGACTGGTGAGTAGCATTGAAAAAGCCGTTCCGGAACTGGAAAACATTATACCCTGTTTTGTACAGGACGACTCAAAACCAACTAAGGATGCTTTGATGTGCAATGTGTAATCCCTTAAAATACATTTTTTATCACCAAAATAAAAATAAATAATATATTCATTAATTTATTTTTTTTAAGGAGACCCAAACCCAAGGATCCATATCAGAAACGACAACAACCTCCCCGGCACCTACCACCACTTTAACCGAAATTGCTGCCTTGCCCTTCAGTAAGTATATACTTTCAATTTACATTATCATTTAAAAATAATAAGAAAATGAATTAAAATAATTTACTGTTTAATTTTCACATGATAAACATGGTCTTATGCCACCGGTATTGCTTCCAGTTTACGGGGTTTGATCACCCTTGTCCTGTGCATTGTTTGTGTAAAGAAGTTGACTATGTTAGTTCCATAACTGAGTTTGACTCTTCAGTAATGAGAGAAATTAAAATTGACTAATTGTTGCAGTGTTGTACGTGATATTCAAAGTGGTGAGGTTGATGATGACCGGCGAGAGACAACTCCCTCAACAAATTGTTCAGCCGCCTCCTGTTGTGGATGATGCCCCACCCCCACTACGACGATCACAGCGACAGAGACGTCAACCCAATCGTCTTACATATTAAATATAGATTGTAAAATAGACTCATTTGTGATGTAAATAGTTTATTGTACATTTTGTTGTAAACTTTAACTGTACTTCAATTGATCTTATAACAAAAGATTTTTTTTCTTACATATAAAGTATAAATGTTTAAGAAAAAGGTATTTGTTTCATTATATACGAAAGTGTTTAGAGTTTCCTAAGAATTCTCCTAGGGGCTAATTCACTTTTCAATGTGTTCAGCTCCCTCTCTAATTTCTCCTCCAGGTATTGCTCCCACGTCTGAACAGTCTGAAAAAGTTTAATACACATAAAATTTACTAATATTAAAAGTTTGGGGAGATATGTGGATAACATATGACGGAAGTGGTGAGCTGACAGTAGTTTACGGAAATGCATAATACCGGAAATACGATTGTTAAGAAAAATCTATAATATTTTATAAGAAAGAGTAGTGATTTGTTGAAAAATGACGATTTAAATTTCCGGAAAAGTAAATGTTACACGTAGAAATATCCTAGAAAGACGGATATACAAAGGTGTAATGAGTGTGTTTACGGAAAAGAAATGTATAACGAAGCATAACACTGGGAACATGACTTTAATGAAAATCTAAATTTTATATAAGAAAGCGTAGAAATTTATTGAAAATTGCGATTTAAGTTTCCGGAAAAGTAAAAGTTACACGTAGAAATATCCTAGAAAGACGGATATACGAAGGTGTAATAAGTTTGAAAGTAAATGAATAAATACTTCCTATTCTAAATACAAATCGGTATACATTATTCTTAATTTGAAACCATGGCGTTCGCATGTTCCCGATGTGATAAAAATTAAAAAAAAAAATATTCAAAAGACCGAGATCGTCATATGAAAACCGTGCATCTTGGTTTATGCGAAAGAGAATGTCTATCTTGTGGGAAGAAAATTAACAGGAAAGATACTTTTGAACGTCACATACGAACATGTAATAGTTCAACAAAGTGTCGGCACTGCGGAAAAGAATTCAAATTGTCTTCTCAATGTCGATTTCATATGCAGAATGAACACAAGGACAAATTATTTAAATGTGATAAATGCAGAAGGGAGTATTTAACCTTACAATCATTTAAACAACACAATGGAAGATGCAAGGAACAAGTGAGTATTTTAAACAAAACTTACATTATTGTGAGTTGAAGCACAGGAGTCTGAAGTTTTTATCGTCAAAAAAAAAAAAAAAAAAAAAATCCGGAAAAAAATTTTCCTACCCTTAACTAAAAAAACCCCAGGATGGCAAAGTGTTTTAGGGGGACCCACCTAAACAAATAGATCTGGGCTTGATCGGAAAAATCTCGCAACTAATTCAGTATCCGGAGTGTTTGTGCTATTTATTCAAGTTAAGAAATCAAATCTGCTTGACGACTACGGGCTGTTCATGGCCTTTTTTCCAGTTTGACAGCTCATCCTGGACTCCATGCCACTAAACCGGAAGTGAACTCCGGGGTGAATATATGACGTAATTGAAGAAAAGAACCAAAAAAAAAATGCATGTAAAACTTCATGTACAATTTTTTGTTACCATACGTGATCAATAAAAAGATATATTTTTCAAACAAAATAATGCTTTATAAGGGCGCTTAGTCTTACTGTTTGGCTCTTTGTCGACATGGCTTTTCATTGATTTAAATTTGGCGCTTGTAAAAACTGAATTATCTGTCCCTGGTACACATCGTCGTACAAGTAATAAAAAGAATAAATAATTTTTGAAAGTTCTCTTAAATATATTTAAAATAACTGAATAAAATTACGTTGAACAATTATTTATTTTATTTCAATTGAACAAGTTTTTATAAACGTCAAATATACACTGCGAGATTCTCTTCCGGTTTAGTGGCATGGAGTCCAGGATGAGTTGTCAAAGTGGGAAAAGGGCTAGGAACGACCCGTAGTCGTCAAGCAGATTGAATTTTTCACATTAAATAAATAACAAAAACTCTCCGGAAACTGAATTAGTCGCGAGATTTTTCTGGCCAAGCTCAGATCTATTTGTTTAGGTGGGTCCCCCCAAAACACGTTGCCATCCTGGGGTTTTTTTAGTTAAGGGTAGGAAAAATTTTTTCCGGATTTTTTTTTTTTTGACGATTAAAACTTCAGACTCCTGTGGTTGAAGAATCTAATACAATGATTTTACGTGTCGGACTCTCTGCAGTCTTCAAATCAATTGAATAAAATAAATTTATACTGACACATAAACTAAAATTTTGATTCTTTTTAAGTGAATTCTGTTTAATAAACAATATCTAATGAATGATAAAGTATGTATATATACAAATACTTACTTTCCCGCTTCCAAACTCTAATCTTTTTTTGATGCGTCCAAACACAGGTCTTTTAGAGGTTGACGCCACCAGGGGTCTTGCCATAAGCCACAAATCATTAGTCTACAATATTAAAAAAAATAATGAATGTGAGATATTGCCTAAAAATAAATCAATTGCTGAATATATATAAAATAATTTTAAAATTATTGAGTTTTAGTAATAATATTTTAATTTGGAATACCCAAAAATTTGATTTCTATTCAAAAAACGTTAATGAAATAAATAAATAAGTTATAATTTAGGTTTGGTTTTTTTTTTTTTGGGGGGGGGGGTGTTAATAAAGATGTATTTCATATACAGAATTATCAAAAAAAATAAAACAGTATTAGTTTAAATAAATAATAATGATAATCACTTACCGGGTACGTTTGAAGCCATGATGGAACTCGTCCAGAGGTTGAGTATTTTATGTCGACACGGTTGTTCATTTATATTAACATAATTATAAACAGTTACATGTATTTTCAAAGAATATTCTTCCTGCTACATAATATGACAAGGATCTTGTAATACATTCAATCTTCAAGTTCAAGTTCAAGTTCAATTTATTCTCCCGAACCAAAATATTGGTACATGGGGTACAGTAAAACATATATACATATTAAACAAACTGGTCAGAGGTACAAAACATATCATATATACAATACAAAATATGTTACAAAATGACAAAATATGAAAAGGGGGAAGAAACAGACAGTCAGTATCATATTAAGGAGGGCAGGTAGCGTCATAAATTTTTGGAATAAACATACATAATTTTTTCAGAATTTGTTCGTTTTGAGTTGACATAAGTTCTGTAAATTTAATAATATTCGGTCTAGTAGAATAATATTTACCTAGGTATTTTCTCCTTTCATTTTCCAAAGCTTTGCATTCTAGAATATAGTGAAATTCATCAGCAATTTGACCTTTACTACAAAGTGTACAGAGTCTTTCAGAAAGTGGTATACCACACCACCTTCCAATTTCTACTGGTAGATGATGATTTGTAGTGCGAAATTTTATTAGAATTTTTCTAAATTTAGGCGATAATTTACAAAGATAGTTTTCGAATCCAAAGTTTTGTTTAAAGATTCTGTAATTTTGTCCTTTTGAGGAATTATTTATATCACTGAACCAATTTTGAATAAATTGATCTTGTAGTATTTGCTTAACAGTAGCACTTATCCATTCATAGTTAATACTAACACCTTGTAGGTTCCATACATTTGGTAAGCCACACATGTTACAGATTTTTTGTATACAGTTCAACCAAGGATTTGTTAAATTTCCATCACAATAAAGTTTTAGTGTATATTTGTACAACACATTTACAATTTTATTTTGAGGGCCGGAAAAAAGTTTTGCCCAGTAAGAAATCATTCTACTGTATATTGAAATATAAAGAGGAAAACGACCTGTTTCACCATAAATGATGGCTTAGAGCTTTTTAAATTAAATACATGCTTTAAGAATTTCAAATGTAAACGTTCAATAACATCTAGATTTTCATAACCCCACATTTCTGAGCCATATAATAATACTGGCACAACAACTTTATCGTAGAGATCAAATTGGCAGTCGACTGATAATTTAAATTGTCTGATTTTTCTGATAATACCGTACATAGCTTTTTGTGCTTGTTCATACAGATGTTTCTTTGTTTTACAAAAGGAACCAGTACGTGAGAATACAACGCCTAAATATTTAAATTCTTTCACATTTTCTATAACTAAGTTGTCATAAAAAAAATTTCTTTTCAACATTGGCCCTTTCGAGAAAACAAGAATCTTTGTTTTTTCGACATTTACATGCAATTTCCATTGTAAGCGATATGTATGAAATTCATTTAGTGCAAGTTGTAGTTAATCAGCTGATTCAGTCAAAATTACTGTGTCGTCTGCATAAAAGAGTACCAACAGTTTAAAATACATTAGCAGTTCATTCTCAATATCATTTGTAATACTTTTTAAGCCTACAATATTCTTATTCGCTAAAAAAATCTTCAAGATCATTTATATACATAGAAAATATAAAAGGTGAAAGATTTTCTCCCTGCCTTACACCGATATTACAACTGAAAAAATCTGTCGACATGCCATTTAATTTAACCATGGATTTTACACCTTTGTACATATTTTGTATATATCGAAAACACTTGCCGTGTATTTCACTGATATGTAATTTGATCCAGAGCCCATTTCGCCACACAGTATCAAAGGCTTGTTTAAAATCAATGAAAGCACAAAACATTTTTTTCTTTGTTTGCATTAGAATGTTCGATAAAAATTGTAATTTTAAGATATGATCTAGTGTAGAATAACCTTACCTAAAACCTGCTTGATTTTCTTGTAGTAGATTTATCTCATTTGCATAATCTTCCAATCTCCTATTTAAAATGCATGTAAACACTTTTCCTAAGCAACTGAGTAGAGTGATAGGGCGATAATTTTCAGGCTTTGTAGGATCACCTTTGTTTTTGAATATCGGCTTTATTATACCAATCAACCATTCTTCCGGAACAATTCCATTTTCATATATCATATTAAAAAATTTCAAATAAACTGGCATGAATAAAGATAATGTCGCTGAAATGTGTTCATTCAAGATATTATCATATCCTGGTGATTTGCCATTTTTAATTTTTTTAACGGCCTGTAGTATTTCATCTTCTCGTATTGCAGTATTTAGGAACTCATCAGATATATTGTTAATATCATTTATGACAGGATCTGAATTATCACAAAACGAGTTTTGCTCTTCGTGATCACTCTCGTTAACATCTTTCAAAAACTTGAGCATATCAATAATATTAACAGCACACTTTTTCTCTTTATCAGAAGCGTTTAGGATTTTCCAATAATCTTTCGAATTTGTTGAGCGTAGTTTTTTAAGTTTATTTGATATATCATTTCTATATTTTTGTATGCATTTATCCATCGTCTTTTTATAAGTATCACGTTTAAATCCTTTAAGTAGTTAAACGACTTTATTTGTTGACTTTATCTATAATATATCATAAACAATCAGGATCTGTAGAGATAAACGGCTACGATAATTACGGATCAATACTGAGCATGTCACTTACTTGTCAATAAAATTTATCAGTTGGCATTTATACTACCGTAACATGTACAATTGTACATAATACATACTCATTAAACACTTAAAACGATGATTCTCTATTAATAGCTTGTTCCTTATGACTAGGGAGTTGTTTACATGTAATTTTCTAATATTTGAAACGTGATAAATTTCACAATTAATTTTAAGAAATCCATCTTAAAATTTTAATCCTTATCTTACTTATTTTTTCAGCAGGCTAAAAAAAACAGATGATTTGCCATCAACAAGTCGTCCAGACAATCAAAATGAGGTCGGGAAAATATGAATTCATTTATAGCGTAATAAAAAACACAAATGAATACATTATCAAATTCCAACGTTTCTTTAAATATTAAAATATTTATGTTTCAATAGCAGGTTTGAAAACAGAGATGATTTACCATCAACAAGTCGTCCAGACCATGCAAATGAGGTATGAGGAAATTTCAATTCATATCATTGATACGGTTACGAGAAACTTACAATGTATGTTATTTTTCATCTCTTTTCTTTTTACAGGATTTGAATCGTGTATTAACCTGCCGCACTTGTCAACAAACCTTTGACTGTAGAAGAACTCTTTATCTTCATCAAATGAATGAACACTTCCAAGTGGGGGCAGGGCAATTACAACCCAGACCGTGGGGTAACGGGTCCCCGCCATGGGAACAAGGGGGAAATATTGATAATCAATTGAAACACGTGTATGAAGCAAATAGTTCTATTATTTTAAGAAGACACCAGGAGGGAAATGTTTGTAGTGTTTATAATTTTCCTATTGATAATCAATTTTCGGTCTCTGAAATCATGCAAGCAGCAAATGAGATTTATGATCGTCAAAACAAAGCATTTCGATTAAATTTAGAATTCGGTTTTATCTTGGTTAATACCGAAACGGGTGAGTATCGTTATTTCAAACCTCATCACAATCAAGAATTATTTCATAGACCTATTTACGTGTCAAAGCGAACACATTTACACCTTTTATACTTACGCATGAGACAATTAAATATTACTGATTACATTTTACGACAACGACCTGACACGAAGTGGAAACCATACTTGATTACCAATTTACGAATCGTTATATATCACTTATATTTCGTCTTGGGAAAAGGCGAAAACATTTTACCAGAGCCCATTCAAAAATCTGCTAATATGTTTTCCTTATCAAAAGACAGAAAAGGGCAGTTTTACAAAGATAATCTGTGTGCGTTCCGTTGTTTAGCTGTACACGAAGGTCACAATACTTCGAGTTTAGAATCTCGCACTAGAATCCTATTTGAAAAATGGGTGAAATATAACCGATCCCGTCAAACAGAAATAAATTCTGATTGTAAATCTTTTCCTGGAGTTACATTAGAACAGATTGTCTATTTCGAAAAATGTTTTGAAATAAGTGTAAATATATTTTCGTTAAACGAAGATCAGTCGGTTCTGTCTGTCTATCAATCCAAAGGAAATTTTTCAAATACGTATTTAAATCTTTTCGAAAACCACTTGTCGTACATCTCCAACTTCAATGCATATGCAAGAAAATTTCAATGTAAAACTTGTCAGCGTCATTTCAGTAATACCAGAAATTTTAAACGTCATCAAAGGACGTGTACCAGAAAAACAAATGGAAATTTCCCGGAGGTTTTATTCTAATCCGCAATCGGTCTTTGATAAATTAGAACAACTAGGAATTTACGTGGAAGAGAAAGATCGATTATATGAGTGGTTTTTAGTATATGATTTCGAATCTATGCTAGTACCTATGAAAATTAAAAATACCGACAATTTAGAATACACTGAGCATCACGTACCCATATCGGTAAGTATCTGTTCTAATGTAAACGAACACACCGAACCACACTGTATCATTGAACCGAACACCGACGATCTCATCAAGAAAATGGTTACATATATGTCAACCATAGCCCAGAAAGCAGCCGAATTAGCAAAAACGAAATTTAGTGATGTGTTCGAGGCACTCGAGGGTTCTTTTATCGATGACGGAATAACCGACGAAATGGCAGAGTACCTCGAACACGATACAGAAATAGAGAAATTGATAAAGGAAGAACAAAAATATGCTGAAAAACTAAAAGAGGAATTCGAGAAATATTGTCAACAGTTAATATGCATTGGTTTTAATTCGGCTAGATACGACATTAATTTAATTAAGAGTTATCTGGTCAAACATCTCATCCCGGAAACAGGAAATGAAACTTTTACAGTTAAACGAAACAACAGTTACGCGTGTATTAGCACCCCATAATTTAAATTTTTAGATGTTACACAGTATCTGAGTCCCGGCATCAATTATTCAGGGTTCTTGCGCGCTTTCGATGTACAAGAATGTAAAGGGTTTTTTCCTTACCAATTTCTAGACTCTGTCGAAAAATTAAATTACCCCGAACTTCCACCTCACGATGCATTCCATTCAACACTTAAAAATGTTAATATCAGCGAAGATGATTACGCGTTTTGTCAAAGAGTGTGGAAGGAAAAAGAAATGACAACCTTTCGAGATTTTCTAGTGTGGTACAACAACCTTGACGTCGGGCCTTTCGTACAAGCTGTAAATTATTTCGAACGAAACATTGATATATTTAAATGTAGCATTTCGGTACCGGGTCTAGCGCGACAAATGTTGTTCGAAAGTGGTAGAAAAGAAGGGGCTGTTTTCTCCTTGTTTGATAAGTCAAACGAAGACTTGTATGACACGGTGAAACAAAATATCATTGGGGGGCCTAGTATTATTTTCAAGCGCTACCACGAGGCGGGGAAATCATTCATTCGCGGAAATTCCCAGAAACCTTGTGGTAAGATCATTGGTTTCGATGCTAATGCTCTCTATCTACACTGTTTAGGAAAAGACATGCCTGTGGGTGCTTTTGTGCGTCGTAAGATAGACGACGGGTTTAAGACACAAAGACGTGATAAATACATGCTTGCATATGATTGGTTAGAGTGGCTGAATCATAATGGTCAGTACAATATTAAACATAAGTTAAACTTTGGAAAGGAAAAGAAAATAGGTCGTTTTCCGGTCGATGGTTATGACGAATCTTCCAACACCGTGTTTCAATTTCAAGGTTGTTACTGGCACGGTCATCGTTGTTGGTGGACTCGTCATGTTCAAGATGACCAGTTAATTAAAAATCGCGAAAAAAAAGACGCGCAAAATAACTGCCTTTTTGAAGGCAAAGGTTACAAAGTTATAGAGATGCGAGAATGTATTTTTCATAATAATATGCGCACTAATTTACGACTGAAAAATTTTACAGATTCTCGCAAGCCCAAAATGAGTCAAGGTCAAATGTCCCCGGAAGACATTGTTGCTGTGACAATAATTGATGACTTAAAACGCCATCAGAGGACGGAAATCTCCCGGTACACCCGTGGAATACTTTAGTAAATCAGAGTAATAACAAACTATACAGATTTCTTTTAAAAAGCCCATTCACGCCCCGGAAATTAGAAAAATTTCCACGATAATGAACCAAGAAAAATGTATTTAAACTCGACCAGTACAGAACCCTTACTCTATTTCGAACCCCCTCAAAACATCATGAGCCATAGAATGAATGAACAGACCGGAGAGGTGAGGTGGGGTTATATGTACGCCAGATTTCCAATAACATATTTTGAATGCAGACTTTGCTGTGAGGAGCAGAATGTATGCTATATATGCTACACGTGCAAGAAAATAGCTTGTTGCGCGCCATGTTTCCAGCGATTAAGGAAGTCCCTTTGGCTGTCCTCTTTGCAGGAGCACAACATCACCTGGTTAATTATTATGATTGTTAATTGGTGTACAGTAGCGTGAAATAAATTTTTCAATTTTAAATATTATTTCGAAAGACTGAATAAAGATTCAATTTTAATACTACCAAAAAAAGCATGAGTTTACTTTCATAAATTTAAAAACAATCCCTTTGTCGAATATAAGATTCATTTTTGCTGGTTGCATGATAAAAAAAAATGATCGTAGGTGTAAATATTTATTTGTTTAAGTTTACTTTATTTATTGTATCAAGGCATTATTTTTTGTGTCACATTGATAAAAAGAAGAGTAACATATTTTCCTTTCTTTTGTGTTTTAAATAAACACTACTTTAAAGATAAACGTACTTTTTAAAACCTATTTATGATAAAAATTGTTACAGATTTGTAAACAATAAGACATTACACGTATTTATGTACCATTTGTTATAAACACATGATATAATACTTTGTCAATAAATATATTTTAAAAGAGTCATAACTGTCTCATTACTTATCTCACGAGAAGGTATTACTGTTGCATGTAATCCTTCTAACAAGGTCTTTAACGGATTGTGATAACTTCTTGATTAATAGATTTGACACACAAATGAGTCAATGGGGTTCGATTTACATCATTTTGATTGGTTGTGCTTGTAAAGTGATTTGCTCCGCCTTCTTGTAATATATATCGGGTTCTGTAAATATTTCTTTATTCATCAAGATGAGCGATCAAGAAGCATATTTAGCCTGGTTACGAGAAAATGAAGTAAGATTACGAATGATATTTAGACACCGCGGCGTCTCCCCAGTTCTTTGGAGACAAAGCATCATCATAGTTACCGAACTCGGTGACGGAGAGACCTGGTTCACTGACACTTCAGATAGGGTTTATCGATCTCCGTCGATGTTAATTCGTCAGGAGGATCTAACCCTTAATCATGGTAACGGCGGATTGAATTTGCCGCCAGGAACTGAGGTAGTTCCAAGTTGGGCCATCCGGGCGGCAAGCGTGCTACTTAGAAGTTGTCCTGTGTGTTTAGAGACAGAGCGTCTCCGCGTCTATATATGTGGACGCTGCAGACAACGTCCAGCCTGCAGCCATTGTACCCTGCAGTTAATACAAGGGGACACCTGGCGACCATGTTCCGTGAGCAGATTTTCAGATCTAGCGGATCGGGAAGAACCACGAAGAGAACTCGAGGAGAGCAACCCCCCTCAACCACCTCAGCAACAATTCGTTGGTCTTGGGAGAGGAGTGGGAAGAGGAATGGGGAGAGGAATAGGAAGAGGACAGGCCATCCTTGAAGCCATTCGACTTTATCGACAAAATAGTCGTTGAAAAACAAACAAACAAACAAACGGCCCTTTTCAGGGCCACCAAATTCTTAGAAAAGATACCACTATTACTAACGAGATGAGAAACACCAGATCACTTAAAAAATTACTTTGAATAAACAACATAGGTAATCAGAGATTACAGAGCACACCTCAACATGTGTTGTCTTTAAGTAAGGCAAATTAAGTTACACAATTAACCATCAAAAAGTGTACATCCAAAAATGCAAAATTTATGCAAATTTGATACTTTGGAATAGACCGATATTAAAATCCAGCATCTGAAGCAAAATTGAGAGTATTCATCCCTTGATGCATCATTTGTGCAACTGGTTTATATAAGCCTTATAGTTTCTTGGTGATAGACTTGCACCCATAACTTTTACGAGGTCTATTATCTGGAAAATGTTTGTCGAATTCAGCATCTGAAGCAAGTCCATTAGTGTGCATCCTAAGATGTATCATCCATGCAAGTTTGGTCAACATAGGGCTTAAAGTTACTGCAAATGAAACCTGTATAAAAAAAATTAACCTTTCCACTAATCCAGAAAATGTGGGTCAGATTGAGCATCCGAAGCCAGCCTAGTAGAATGCACCCTTAGATGTACCATCCATGCAAGTTTGGTCATTATAGGGCTCAAAGTTACTTGAAAATGAATCCTGCACCATAAACTTTAACATATTTACTCGTCAAGAAAATGTAGGTCAGATTCAGCATCCGAAGCAAGTCTGGTAGTATGCATCCTAAGATGTACCATCCATGCAATTTAGTCGTTATAGGGTTCATAGTACTGTACCTTGGAAATGAAACCTGCACCCAAAATTTTAACCTGTTCACTCAACCGGAAAATGTAGGTCAGATTCAGCATCCGAAGCAAGTTTATATGATATATATCCAAGATATATGGAAAACATATGAAGGAAACAAGCGGAAGTGGTGAGCTGGCAGTAGTTTACGGAAATTTATAATACCCGGAATACAATTGTAAAAAAAAATCTTAGATTTTATAAGCAAGAGTATAGATTTGGTGAAAGATGACGAATCAAAACTTCCGGAAAAGTAAATGTTACACGAAGAAATATCCAACAAAGACAGATATGCATAGGTGTAATAAGTTTGAAAGACGTATTTATATAGCTGTGATAAGTGTGTTTCAGAAAAAGACTTCAATGAAAATCGAAATGTTTTATAAGAAAGGGTAGAGATTTATTGAAAAATTATTGAAACTTCCGGAAAAGTAAAAGTTACACGTAGAAATATCCAAGAAGGACGGATTTACGTAAGTGTAATAAGTTTGAAAGTAAATGAAAAAATACTTCCTATACAATTTGAAACCATGGAGTTCGTATGTTCCCGATGCCTTAAAAAATTTAAATGTTAGAAAGACATGTTCGGAAAGAATCCGAAAGGTATTGAACGATATAAAGACGTCTTATGAAAACCGTGCAACTTGGTTTATGCGAAAGAGAATGTCCATCTTGTGGGAAGAAAATTAACAGGAAAGATAATTTTGAACTTCACATACGGATATGCAAAAAGTATACAAAGTGTCGGCACTGCGAAACAGAATTCAAATTGTCTTCTCAATGTAGATTTCATGTACATAATGAGCACAAAGACAAATTATTTAAATGTGACAAAAGCAAAAGGGAGTACTTAACCTTACAATCATTTAAACAGCACAATAGGGAAGATGCAAGGAACAGATTTTTAGGCAATATCTCACATTCATTATCTTTTTAATATTATAGACAAATGATTTGTGGCTCTCGGCAAGACCCCTGGTGGCTTCCACCCCTAAAAGACATGTGTTTGGACGCATAAAAAAAAAAGATTACAGTTTGGAATCGGGAAAGTAAGTATATATATATTTGTAAATATACATACATGTACATACTTGATCATTCATTAAATATTGTTTGTTAGTTAGAATATACTAAACAGAATCAAAATTTTAGTTTTTGTCACAGTATAAATTAATTTATTTTCTTCAATTATTTTACAGACTGCGAAGACCCCGATTCGCAAAATCATTATATTAGATACGTCGACTTCAACTCACAATAATGTAAGTTTTGTTAAAAATACTCACCGATGAAATTGTTGAATATATATATAAAATAATTTTTAGAATAAATGTACGTGTTGAAACGAACACATTTACAGTTTATACTTACGCATAAGACAATTAAATATTACTGATTACATTTTACGACAACGACCTGACACGAAGTGGAAACCATACTTGATTACCAATTTACGAATCTTTATATATCACTTAAATTTCGTGTTGGGTAAAGGCGAAATAATTTTACCCGACCACATTCAAAAATCTGCTAATATAGTTTCCTTATCAAAAGACAGAAAAGGGCAGTTTTACAAAGATAATCTGTGTGCGTTCCGTTGTTTAGCTGTACACGAAGGTCACAATACTTCGAGTTTAGAATCTCGCACTAGAATCCTATTCGAAAAATGGGTGAAATAT